TTTATTTATTTATTTATTTATTTATTTATTTATTTATTTATTTATTTGATTTGCCAATTGTTTACAAGATAATAAGTATAAGTGTATACATAGTTGTGAATACATGAAATGGGTACATATAAGAAAAATAAAAGAATAAGAGAAACAATAGGACAGGGACGGTAGGCACGTTGGAGCGCTTATGCACGCCCCCTACAGACCTCTTAGGAAAGGGGTGAGGTCAATAGTTGTATTCTGTTGAATAAGCTACAGTGGTTGAGTTTGCTCCTAGAGCTCAGCCATAAACCATGGTTTATAAATCATAGTCTTTGGTTTTATGCCACATGGAGATGGCAAGCAGCAGCCACATAAACATTTCGTATTGATTTAGAATCTGATACGAACCTAATTATTGTGGTTTGTAAGTCATAATTTATGGTGGCTTTGATTTGAGCCCTTGGGCCCCCATGAACCCATTGGAAGCTTGGGGGTGACTCCCAGAATTTCCCCACAGTAATTAGCAACTTGTAACATTTCCAGAAAGTAAAGGGAAATAGGTGTAATATTAACTGGAAACTAATCATTTGGACTACCGTATATTTAACTTTAATTCAATATTGTTCAATGTGAAATAGAGCCCAATTTAACTGTTCACCTGGTCCCACCCATTGGGTTGAAGAACGTGAATCACACTCCAAAATATGCACTTTATCCTGTTTAATAGTGTAGTATCACACAGCACGGGAGTCCTCCTACTGTGGCTCCCAGGCAGTCCACGAATTACAACCACAATTGAGATCAGAACTTTTGTGGCTAAGGAAAGTGGTTGTTCAGTGTGTCCAATTTTATGATTTTTTTTTTTGGGGGGGGGGCACGGTTGTTAAGGGAATACGGCCAGCTGTTCAGTGAATGATGATGTGGTTGTTAAAGGGATCTGGCTTCCCCCACTGATTTTCCTTTCCTGAAAGCCAGTTGGGAAAGTGGCGAAGAGCAATCCCATGACCCCAGGGTGTTGTAACTGTGATTAATATATACAGGTAGTCCTCGACAGTTCATTTAGTGACCGTTCAAAGTTACAAGGGCACTGAAAAAAAGTGACTAATGGCCGTTTTTCAAAGTTACGACCGTTGCAGCATCCCCAGGGTCACGTAATCAAAATTCAGAAGCTTGGAAACTGGTTCCTACTTATGAGGGTTGCAATGTCCCAAGATCATGGGATCCCCTTTTGCAACCATTTGGCTAACTTAACAAATGCAATGATTCACTTAACAACTCTGGCAAGAAAAGTTGTAAAACAGGGCAAACCCACTTAACAAATGTTTCAGTTAGCAACATACATTTTGGGCTGAATTGTGGTCATAGCTCGAGGACTACCTGTATCAGGTGGCCAGGGCCTGAACTTTGATCACATAGCCAGTGGGGATGCTGCCATGGTTTGCAGATGTGAGGACCAATCATGCGTCTCTTTTTTTCAGTGCCATTGCAACTTCAAACAGTTGCTAAATTAATGGCTGTAGGTTGAGGACTGCCTGTATTCCCCCCAAAATGGGGGGAAAAAATTACCTGGCTTACTGAAATGTATGAACTCATCATTAGTCTTTTGAGCTAAAACCAGTAACGGCTGTATCTTCACCAGCTCTTGACTTTCTTTAAGAGCCGCGGTGGCGCAGTGGTTAGAGTGCAGTGCTGCAGGCTCCTTCTGCTGACTGCTGGCTGCCAGCAGTTTGGCAGTTCAAGTCTCACCTCGCTCAAGACTTCGGTCCTTCCGAGGTGGGTAAAATGAGGACCCAGATTGTTGTGGGGGGCGATAGGCTGACTCTGTAAACCGCTTAGAGAGGGCTGTAAAAGCTCTGTGAAGCGGTATGTTAAGTCTAAGTGCTATTTATGAATATATATGTTTGAAAGCACTGAAAAACACTGAGAGAGACCTGATGGGGCTGGAGGCTGACTTTTATAAATATCTATAAATATCATAAGCCGAGGAGTCTGCTCAGAAAGTAGTGAGGGTAGGGTGGGAGATGGGGAGGTGGGTCTTTCCTTGCAATGAATAAGGACCATCCTCCTCTACTGGACCAGACCTGGCCCTTAGAACTGAACCTGGGCTCAGGCAGAGCGGGGCTCCTCTTTCAGCTCCTTCGGTTCTTCCCCCTGCTTGTAGACGCTGACGGTCACCTTCCCAGTTTCAGAGCCCCACTTGTTCTTCACAAGGATGCTGAACCTCCCGGTGTCCTCACTGCTGACGTTCTCAATGGTTATTGTGATCACGGTCCCCTTCACTTCCATCTTGTACCGATCTTTGAAGGTAATGACCTTCTCGTTCTTGTACCAGGTGATTTCTGGGTAAGGGTCTCCGGAGATGATGCAGGTCAAGCACAAAGTCTATTTTGGAAAGCAAAGAAAGGAGTCATGATAGGACTTCAAGATTGGACGGGGAAAGGCAATATAATCGGGCAAGGCAGATACACAGGCAGGGCAGGGTCCATCGGTCCCTGTCAGGTCTGCCATCAAAGGCGAGGAGGGAGGAGGGAGACATGGGGTGGGGGGTGGGGAACAAATGTGCAATCGATCTGCATGTATATGTGATGGGAAATTGGGAGGGGGGAATGACAGCTTGACAAAGAACGGGGAGCTCGGGACCAATTTGTGCCAATGATCAAGGCCATACACCCCGAGAAAGAATTCCTCTAAACATTGCAGTGTTCTCAAAACACCTAGGCAGACTCTTACTGGCTGAACATGGACTGGTCATGGGGAGAGGCTGGGATGGGGGAAAAAATTCTGTATCTTTTGCACGTAGTAAATTAGGTCCAGCCTGACACTACTGCAACCAATATCTTTTGGTAAAAAGCTATCACTTCAACCAAATGGAATCCAGGGTCTTCCTTTCCTAAGAGGTTGGACTAGGGCAGGTCTGACAGTACCAATGTATGGGCAGACAGCCCTTGTATGCCCTCTAGGACCCCTGTCCCTCTTGCCCCATGCTGGGATATTCTTTTGAACCTCCAAAGGGCACCTGAAATTCCCAGAAATTAAATTAAAAACAGATATTTCTTTTTAGAAAGTTTGCAATGCTACAAGATCACCATGTTGGCATTCGTGCATGAGTTTTCATGGGTCTTGTGGGAACCAAGAGGTGATTGTTGGAAACATTGAGGATCTTACACTTTGGGGAAGAAGGGGAGAGAAACCTGAAGTTGTGCAACGAATCTGGGACCTGGAAGGATTGCACAAAAGTGCACACAAAGAGAGATGGAATGTCACAACGCTTGCCTTATCAGTTGCTAATAAAAATGGTAATGCAAGAGTCCCTTATATAATTCAGGGTTCCCACAGCAGTTATTCCCCACTTGCACAGCTGGAGACCACCCAAGACAATTCATTACCTTACTTTCCATGATAGTTGCAACATCTGGAAGGCCACGTACCACTTTGGCTCGGACTGCAGAGGGAGAACAGACATCATGATTCAGTTTTTAATCCTAATTTTTGGCAACAGGCAGTCCCTTCCTTCCTTCCTTCCTTCCTTCCTTCCTTCCTTCCTTCCTTCCTTCCTTCCTTCCTTCCTTCCTTCCTTCCTTCCTTCCTTCCTTCCTTCCTTCCTTCCCCTACTTTTACTATTTTCACAGATAACTCAGGGCGGCGAACATATCCAACACACCTTCCTTCTCCTATTTTCCTCACAACAACAATCCTGTGAGGTGGGTTGGGCTGAGAGAGAGAGAGACTGGTCCAAACTCACCCAGCCCGTTTTCGTAGCTAAGGCAAGATTCATGCAATACAGTTTACCTGGTTGCTGTGAAGTTGTTTTAAAATAAATCTGCAAAAGCTGCAGGTTTGAAAACACACTTTGGATTCAAAGCAGTGGTGGGATTCAATTTTTTTTACTACCAGTTCTGTGGGCATGGCCAGGGGAAGTGGCCACGTGACTAGGTGGGCGTGGTGGGGTTTTATTTATTTTTTGCTTTTTGTAGCAACCCTCCCCCCTTTTTGGGGGCCTTCTGGGCCTCAGGCAAGCCTCCTGGGGGGTCGTTTTTGCTCCCAGAAGGTTTCCCTGGAGTCAGGAAGGAAAAAAAATGGAGCATGGGGCGGGGCCAGCTTTCCCACACTTCATTTTGGGGCCTCCCTGGGGCCCAGGAAGGTTAAAAAAAAACACCCCTCTGCCTCCCCCTCTCCATTTTTTTTTTACCTTCCTGGGCCTCAGGGAGGCCTCCTGGGCGAAGCAGGAAGTAAGCCAGGAGCATCCTGGCACAGCTGATCATAGGAACAGCTGATTGTTGGGAGGAAAAAATGGGGCGATTGGGTGGCCCAGTGTCAGGCGGGTGGGGTGAGCGAGCATCGGGTGGGCGGGGCAAGCGAGCCAGCAGTGACCAGGCGACGGGGCCAAAGTTGCTACCGGTTTGGCAACCCCACACCGGTTTGCCTGAACTGGCACGGACTGGCTGAACATCACCACCGATTCAAAGTAAACTGACTTCCACTGGTTGCCCTTTTAATTGTGTGCTGTCGCTGGGGTGGGTGGGCTGTTGTTTTTTTATTGTTTTTTTCCCCATGTTGTGTTTTTACTGTTTGTAAGTCGACCAGAGCCGCTGTGAGTGAGTAAGCAGCTATATACATTTTATAATCAAACAAACAAATAAATAAATCTCCCAAGAACGCAACAGACCAAAAAACCTAGAAAAAGGTGCATCTTTTAATACTCACACTCCTCCACCATAGCCGCTTGCCTACGATGAAAACAAAACAAAAGGCATTTTTAGGTCACATACAACGTTTACCTAAATTTCACTGAAGAAACCACAGGATTAAATGCAAGACCCTTCTCCCAGCCCAGGAGTCACCACATTTAGGCTACACAACAATCCCAAAGTACTGCATGTTTCAGGTTTCTTAAGCAAAGCATCCATCCACCAGATCTTACATTTGGGGTCCTTAAACCCTGAGCCACAGCTCAGTTCCGGGCCGTGGCCCATACTGAACCGCTTGCCAAAGGGGATCTGCATGCATGAGTGCTCTTATCTGCTACTTGTGCAGAACCATCTCTTCTCCCCCCATCCCTTGCCTGCCATGGCTACCACCGGTCCACAAAGCCGGAAATGTTGGAGACCGCAGTCTAACACAATCGATTCTCCAAATGTGGTAGTTTTCTAAAAAAAAGGAAGCTGTTCAGAGCAAACAATAACCACAACCCCACCCTACTTACTTCAGCCTTTGATGTTCGGCGAGCGCATCGTCGAAAGCTACAGAAAGGAAGCAAGAAAAAGAAGGGTTGTCTTGGAGAAATGGTACACTACATGAAATGGGGGAAGAACAGCTAACAAAATGTGGAATTTTAAAAGTTCTTTGGTTCTTCTCTCATCCAGATGCTTCCATTTTAAAACCTATTCTTATATATGAATGCAGTTGTAGGAATTGCCATTGGAACCCAGAATTGTACCAGAAAAATAAAATATAATGGACGTATCTGCATTTGTGGAGCAGCAGAGGTAGAAGACTTGGCTCACTTACTCTTTGATTGTTGTCTGTCTAAGAGGGTGACAGACAGGTACCTTCAGTGGTGGGATTCAAATAATTTAACAACCAGTTTGCCCAGGAAATGTGGTCCATCCCCATCCTCCAGCTCCGCTGCACATGCGGGACGAGCTTCCCACGACAGCCAACCTGACCGTGACGGAACTGGTTGTTAAATTACACACACACACACCCCGCTATCAAAGTGGATCCTGGGCGCTGTGCTGCAATGGAGAAATGGGCAATGGAGTGGCCGGCATGAGGGAAGGAGAAGGAGCAGGGAGAAGAAAGAGGGAAAGCGGCATTTTTCTTCCCTCGCACCGGCCATTGCCCATTTCTCAATTGCAGCGCAGTGCCCAGGGTCCACTTTGATAGCGGGGGGGGGGGGGTACGTAATTTAAAAATCGGTTCGCCCAAACTGGTGCGAACCGGCTGAATGCCACCACTGGGTATCTTGGTTCATATACTAAACCAGGGGTGTCCAACCTTGGCAACTTTAAGACCTGTGGACTTCAACTCCCAGAGTTCCTCAGCCAGCTTTGCTGGCTGAGGAACTCTGGGAGTTGAAGTCCACAAGTCTTAAAATTGCCAAGGTTGGACACCCCTGTACTAAACAAATGACCCATTTGGAACCCCATATTAAAACAACCTGTCTTCTGTGTGGTCAGAATTTGAAAACAACATTTAATATGGCACAGGACTTGAATAAAATGGTTCGGTTAAGATCGGCATACGTGGGACTCATTGGGGTAGATTGTAGGGGTGATACTGAAATATACTTTTATCTTATTTGATTTATCTCTATATTAAGTTATACTTTATTCCAATTTCATTTTAAATTGTATTGTGTTCCAAATTCATTTTAAATTGTTTTTATAGGATTTTAGTAATAATTTGTGTTTGGAACTCTATCTTTTGATATGATCTAATCAATAAAATAAGCTACAACCATATGTAACTCAGGTGAAATGTACATTGCTAGTAAACCATGCTTGTCATTATATTTCAAATAAACGGAAAAAGTAAGGTTTCTTTTTAACCCTCTCAAATAGAAGCATTCAAGTCCTCACACAAACTATTGCTGCATAGAATGGGAACTTCTCTGGGGGTTGTATTGAAAAGAAAAGGTTTCTTTAGAAATTAAAATCAAAAGTAATACAGGGAGTCCTCGACTTACGACCAAGCCCAACATTGAGCCCAACATTGCTGTCGCTAAGTTAGGCATTTGTTAACTGAATTTTGCCCCACTTTATGCCTTTTCTTGCCACAGTTGTTAAGTGAATCACTGCAATTCAGAAGTTAGTAACGCAGTTGTAAATTGAATCTGGTTTCCCCATTGATTTTGTGCGTCAGAAGGTGGCAAAAGGAGATCACATGACCCCAGGACACTACAACCATCATAAATATGAGCCAGTTGCCAAGCATCCAAATTCTGATCATGTGACCATGGGGATGCTGCAATGGTCATAAGTGTAAAAAACAGTCATGTCACTTTTTTCAGTGTCATTTTAACTTCAAACAGTCACTAAATAAACTTTTGTAAGTCATGGATTTCCTGTAAAAAGAATGAAAGGAAACACAGTAGGGTTTAGCTATAGCTATGTAAATGGTAATCTTTTAATAATAGGTGAAAATAAATTGACTTTCTATGTAAGGAAAAGTTGGGTTTTGAAAGGCTATTGATGCTTTTGAACCTCGGTGTTGGAGAAGGCTCCTGAGAAGATCGCAGACAGCCAAGAAAACAAACAAATGGAACCTAGAACAAATCAGTCCTAATATTTTGGATGTTGTAATGCTCTCTTGAGAAGTCTATAATGTGTGGTCCTTGTGTTCTCAGCTTTGTCGTTTTCTTGAAGACGTTTCATCACCCTACTGTGTAATATCATCAGTGGTAGAAGTAGAAGGGAGTGAGGTTTACCTTTTCCAGATAGGTCAGTTGTCAATTTGCGCATCTCTATCCCATCAGTGAGCTCCAGGGTGTATTTGCCTCGGTCAGACTCCTTTGGATCAAGGATGTGCAACCAAACCTGGTCCATGGTTGTTCCTATTTTCAAGTGATCTCCTCCTTCTAGACGCTTGTCGCTGAAGGTAAAGCAGGTGATTAAATCGTCAGTTAATATACAGCCTCCAAACTATAATTGTCCAACCATGGCAACTTTAAGACCTGTGGACTTTATCTCTCAGAATTCCCCACAAGTCTTAAAGTTGCCAAGATTGGATATCCCTGCTTAAACAACATCTCTCTTTCATTTTGTGTTCATAGTTATGCTATAAACATCTTAATGATGGTAGCCCTACAAAGCTGCCTACTAAGGTGCTTCCAGGTTAAAAGAATTAGCTGGTGACATCACTGTTGCCCAGGGGATGCTCGAGGGTGTTCCTTTTATGTCCCTGATTTTCCCATCGAAGTGGTACCCATTTATCTACTTGCATTTGAATGCTTTCAAACTACTAGGTGGGCAGGAGCTAGAGTGAACTGTTAGGAGCTCATTTCATCATGTGGCTTGCTCTCGGGTTTTGAGCTGCTGAGCTGTCGACCTCCAATGGTCTTTTGACTCAGCTTCCTAACCACATGAGCCATTGCTGTCCCAAGACAGGACACCACGAGCCATATTTCACCTGCGCTGTAAACTTGTCAGGCTCCAAAAACAAAAAACAAAAAACAACCCACACTTCTAAACAATTTACTTTATTGTTCCTCACCTATAGTCAGATATCTTGCCAAACTAAAGCAACTACTTGTGTCATTAAAGATAGACTTTGAGAATTTCTAAGAAGGAGCAATCTTGATCCTTTCCTTCCCAACCAAACTATCTAAACTTTGCTGTCTTTTGGTACTTTGGATTGCAGCCCCTCCTACCTGGGAATCCAGACAACATTCCATCACAAAACTATGGACAATTTTTAGTTACTATTAGCTCTGGAACAAAATAGGATTAAGAACCTGAATCAGTTGAAACAAATAACTTTGCAAGGCTGAGGGTTTTCTGGATGATCTACAGGATGTTGAGCAGGGAGGAGGAAAGGGATCCCACAAAAGGGAGGGTCCTGGCCAAGTTTGGGTGGGCATCCCTCTCCTTAAGCTTAGCTTATGCCTTGTGCATCCTCTGTTGGGAAGGGGACGACTTGCCACAGCCAACTTGCTGCGACCAATTCACCATAGCCAACTAACTCTCCATGGCCAATTCTCCATGGCCTACTCACCACTGGATAAGTTGCCACAGCCAACTCGCCACAAGACAACTCACTGTGGGACAATTTAACAATGCTATTTAATTATTTAAAATAAACAAAAAATATATTCATTTTTGCTGTTCACATTTCATTCTGTCCCTCCTTTTGCATCCTTTCTTTAATGATTCTGTTCCACCATTTCTTTGGTATTAGTGTAACTCTTGTCCCGCGGCAAGCTGTCCTGTGCCGAGATGGTCATGGCAAGTTGGCCATGGTGAGTTGACCATGGTGAGTTGGCTATGGTGAGTTGGCTGTGGCAAATTGTCATAGACCCTCCTCTGTCTGCCCCATAACAACACCTTACCTTACAAACTTAGAGTCACAGGATAAAAGCACATACTTGTGGTACCAGGTGGTCTTCATGGCATCTGTGTAGCACTTTACTTCACTGTAGATCTTGATGCCTTCTACAGTTGGCTGCACTTTCAAAGGTGATGCAGAAAGAACTAATCAAAAAAGTCAGAAAAAGAGAGAGAGAGAGAGATACTTCAGGAAAGACAATTAGGCTTTCCCTGATAAATTAAACTAATTTTAGTTCTTTACAGCAAGGACAAGAACCCAAAGGCCCTCCAAATGTTTTGGACCTATCTCCCATAATCCTTAGCTGCCTGGGATTGATGAGACTAGAAGTCCAAATCTAAACTGAAGTCCAAAGAAGGACATTTTATGGAACGGGAATCCTATCTCCTGTGCCTTGGGTACAATAAATGGCACCAGAACAGGATCTGAAGGTCAGCAACTTACTACTGATTCTGGCCAGCTCCTTGAGGATGTCATCAAATGCTGTAAAACAGAATGCATCACATAATAGTAAAGAATAGCACCATATAGCAAGCAAGCCGCTGTAGATAATGTTTAGTTTTGTCCTGGCTATACTTGGGTTTCCTTAGACATTTATTAATGACTGTTGAACGACAAGGAAACATTTCATTTAGATCAGGACCAGGTAGCCTCCAGCCTGAGGAATATATGTGATTCCTGACCCCAGAGGTCCTTCCAGTCACAACTTCCAAAAATCAATATCATGGTTTTCTATTGTTTAGAGCCAGAAAACCCAGAAAAGGTGTAGATAAGTCTCTAAATAAAAGAACCAAAAAGAATATTTTCTTTCTACTCCACCACTGCAAACCTTTCTCAAATCCAGGTTAAAAAAAGCCAGTTCTCCCATATTTTACATCATTACATTGTTAAGAGTTAGGGCTCACGTGGTTAGGATGCTGGGCTGGAGGTTAGCGGGCCCACTTTCAAGATCCGAGTGCGGCTGTGTGGTCAGGTGAGCTCCCGTCATTCACTCTAGCTCCTTGACAGGAACATGAAAGGAGCCCTTGCAAGTCTCTCCCAGCCCATGGTAATATCACCAGCTAATCCTTTTAATCCAGAAGCACCTTATGCGGGGCCTCCGACATGAATGGGATGGGATCACATTGTCCAGACATTCACAACAATCAAATGACAATCTTTGAAGGAAGGTTAAGCCAAGAGATCATCATCCTTCATTGAGAAAGGTAGTGTAGGTGCTAATGTAAGATCCCAATTTTACAAACCCCACTGACTCCCAGAAGTGATCTCACCAACACACCAGCTCCTTTGAAAGACTACTTATCCACTGCATGGTTTAATGAAAATGTTACATCAGTAAAAACTTGGCTATATCTCTGAATTCATGTGCTGTCATTCTCAGTCCTGTTCAGCTAACTGGTTGTAAACTGGAAAAATCTTAAATATTTCCCCCAGCCCTCTGTCACAGCGTGCAAAATAAAGGAGCATTTTAAAATCTTTCTTCTATTTTAACTTCCTCCTTACTGATTGTCATGCGGAATTTAAACTCTTCTGCTTTCTTTTGGCCAAATTGGGTGAAAATTGCACAAAATATTGCCAAAGCACCAGATTTGGGAAGTCTGCTCTGAATGAACAAATAATATTTCGGCCAGTGAAGAAAAAAGGATTGTACCTTCCTTTGTAAGATCCAGTTGGGTTGTGTCTTGTCCGCGGTCATCAGAAACCACAGCTTTGTAGACTCCTTTGTCTGCTTTGGTAATCTAGCAAAATATAGAGATGATATCTGGGTTTGCACAACACACTGAACCCTAAATCCAAGTTAGAAAAACCCAGTTGCAGCTGTGCATCCCTATTCCACAATGACCAAATAAATGAATTATGTGGTTGTTTAATGTGGTGGCCTGGCTCACGCGACTTGTAAAGACTGGCTGAGTTCCTACATTTCACACAAAGCACAAAGAGGGCCAGCCCTTTTTAGTTAGTGTAGCATGTTGTGTGAACACAGATACAGGTTAGAAAATGAAGTATCTTGAAATTGCCCAGAAAATATCAGTTGATGTGTGACCGTATCAATTTATGTTAAAAAAAATTAAACATTGTTCAATATTTATAGGTACAGATGGGTCAGAGTTAGTGTCAGAGTCTCATATTGCCAATCCCTGTAACCGTACGATGAATAGTTGTGGGAACTAGATAGGTCTGGTCTAAGAAGGAGAAGGACTAGATGGGACAATATTTGAGGAGGGCCAGACAAAGAAGTAGCAGTTGGAAACTTATCAAGGAAAGATGCAACCCAGAACTAAGGAGAAATTTCCTGACAGTGAGAACAATTAATCAGTGGAACAGCTTGTGGGAGCTCCGTCAAAGGAGAGGCTTTTAAGAAGAGACTGGACACCATTTGTTTGAAATGGTATAGGGTCTCCTTCTTGAGCAGGGGTTGGTCTACAAGACCTCCAAGGTCCCTTCCAACTCTGTTATTCTTCTAAAAAGAGAAAGAAACAGACCTAATTTGAGGGTGTTCCTTGCTTCTTACTCATTTCATATTTTTCCAACATTTCTTTTAATGAAGTATTCTGCAGAACTCAAAAGTTTGCACACTTTTTACTGCTATTTTTTTTAGTTCCAACAAATATATTGTCCAGTTATGGACTGTTTACCTGGTAGGTTCCACAATATGTTTTAAAAGACCCATGATAGTGGACGAAGCCACACCTTCTCCCATTTGTAGGTAACAGTAATGGGGAAATAGAATTGTCTGTGGAATTTGAATTTCTCAACTGGTACGAAACTGGAAAAAGCTACAGCGACAAAAAACAAAACTCCAGCTCTGTTCTTTCATTTATGACATTCCATTTCTTTCCTATTTTGTAGGTAATTTTATTAATTTAATCATTAACTCAGGATAAACCTACCCTTTTAATTTGTAGGATTCCAGCTCCTGTGTTTGAATTATATTGACCATCTGAGCGGGCTTTGTTATCAAAGAACCATTGAAAAGAAGTATCCTTCTTCATGTTTGATGCCTAATGAAAGGAAGG